GTCAGAGCGGGCATAACGCTAGGCATGCGCGGGAGGGGGTGGAAGTGGAGTGTGTACGGACTGGCTGTTAAGTGGCGGGAGTGGGGTGGAGTAATGTTGCTCGGTGGACGATCGTTATTATATTTGTACCATCTTTTCAGTCCTGGCACGACGTACCATCACTAGTAGTAAAAGCATTCAAAATGTGCATCATGTTTGAGGGAGCCCTCTGCAAAGCCCCCAAGTCATGCTCAGGGAGTCTTAACTGACTTTTGGGCTTACTGCCAGTACTTTCTCATGACAGCATACTTCAACAGTGAAGATGTGCTTAAATTTGACTGGTTCTCACTCACAGTCTTACAGTGAGCAATATAAAGTCAATAAGAAGGATGTTTATTTGCATATGTATTTGCATCTTTTTCATAGCGAACTATCATTTTTTCAGCCACTGTGATCATTTCGAGCTTCCCATACGAGAATTTCAGATTTAAGACCTGGCAATGCTGGGTTTGACAAGGAAGGGACGGAGTGGGGCTGAGCAGCACCCTTGGGAGCTCAGTGGAGTGCAGGGAGGCTGCCAGGAGCTTCCTCTGCAGGGGGCTCTGGAGGGTCGCGTGGAGGCAGGTTAAACACCATGGTGTTCCAGGGTGCCAAAGCCAAGTGCAGGTTGACTGCTCTCCTGGACCTCCATGTGCGGCCTGGTCTTTTGGCTTAGGTCAAGCAAGACTGGGGGCATCTGAACCCCAAGGCCTCTGGGCCTGCAGCTAGCGCGTAGGATGACTGCCTGGATTTGGGGAATAGACAAAGCCCCAGACCGATGGGTCTGGGAGGCAGGATGCTTGCTGTGGGGCAAAGCCATGCAGTCTTGACAACTGAGCTTTGCTCAGTCAGATTTCAGAACCTGATTTGGGTTTTGCCCAATTACGTTTGGAAATGATTTGGCCTTGAACATGATAAAGAGGAAAAAAAAATGTGTAGCCAAGGACTTGCTGATGCACCAGCTTCTGTCTGGGAAGCTTGCCAAACACCAGCCTCACCTTGCCTACACTTTGGACCCCTGCCTCACTTTACATATGTTGCACACTTTACTGGTGAATCATGCGCAATAAATTTAAAGCAGTCACACCTGCAAAGTAATGCTCATGCAATTAACTGGTGAATCGTGTGACACATAGATGAGCCACGCTTGCAGAGTAATTATCGCATGATAAAAAGGCCTATCCAGCTGTAAAATGAGCCTACCAGCCATGGGTGACTGGTGCCTCCTGATACAGGGTGGGCATCAGCAGCGGATTGCCAATGGTGGGCGGGGTTCCCCAGCAGCCAATGGCTGCCAGTAGCAGCAAACCTGAAAGTGCCACTCAGCACCCCCACAATCTCAGGGGGGCACCTGATGTTGTCCTGCACTCCCCAGCCAGCAAGGGCCAATCTCAGGGGGGCATATGCCCCACCCCCATGCTCTCCCTACATGTTGCCTATGCTGAACCAGCTATAAAGTTAATGCTTGAAAACATGTAACAACTCTATACCTTGTTTCTATCCAGCTTTAATAAGAACATGTCACAGGATCCTCAGATTCACCAAGGATTCCTGTTGGAAACCTCAAAGTCTATACCTAGCGCGTATAAGCTCCATGGAGTCAAGCTGGGTGGGGAGTGTTTAGTATCAGGCCTCCATGTGTCTGGTTTTCCTCAGGCTCCTGAGTAGTTTATGTAGCTGGGTACACCTGTTTTTAAACTGCAGCTGGTACTGTGGCTACAGGTTGCCAGGACTCTTGTTGATGAAGCTGCTATTTTGTGATACAGCTGGGTGCAGCACATGCCAGGGAAAACACACCCCTCCTGTGAGAGATTTTACATCTACTATTTACTTGTACTGCACCTGTCAACAGCCCAAGACTTCTTTGTGTGTAAAGTAGTGAACAAATGGCAGTTGTTTGTTTTGCTGGACTTAATTAGTGTTAAATTGAAAATACAGTGTTGCTTTTGGCATAGAGAAAAAAAATAGAATCCAACAGGTACCAACAGTGCTCAGCGTTTCACAGTATTGGGCCCATCATGTTCATAATTGCTCACACCAGTGCTGTCATTAACATTGAGACCACCAATATAATCAAGTCAAACAGGATTTGCACCTGAATTTTTAAGCTGAGACACTGGTAGAAGCAAACAATTTCCTTGATAATTTAGAAGGTAAAGTCAGTACTGTCTAGAATTTTCCCTCTGCTTGGTCCAAATAAAAAGTAAGAGGTGAACCATTCAAATCCAAAAGTCCCCGAAACAAAAGTATGTTCTGAGCTGTCTCTGATTGGTATTAGTGATGTAATAATAAACATGAGCTCCACAAATAGAAAAGGTTCCTTTGGGCCACTTTACACTGCCAGCTGGCCCTAATTAACCACTATCAAAGATGTTTGTTAATAAGATAAATCAATATTTATGTCTGACTCAGGAATAGCATCACCATTACTAAGCCCTATATACACTGGTATGAGTTAACCCTCCAAACACAGCTAAAATAGGTATTATCATCTCAATTTTACAGGCAGAACAGTTTAGGTTCAAACTGTATATCTGGTGGGACTCCACTGAACTGCAACATGGATGACCTTTGCTGTACTCAGTTTCCCAAGGTGTCTGAAGGAGACTATTTTTGATCTGAAAGATAGCTCAGGAATGTCTGAATCCTTGTCGTGGGCTGAGAGCACCAGGTTACCTCATTCTTTTTTTTATGTAGAGTAATATTTATGCAAATACTACAGAACTATGCAAATAATCCCTCCAAAATCAATTGGATGACTCATATGACTAAGTTCTAAATTACATTTTTTGTTCTATCCTGGCCTCAATTTTTAGATGCTTGTTAATGACTGCAGCACAAATTAATTATTAGAATATTAATATTTGCTTTGAATCCACTCTGCTGTTATGAGGATACAAAGTCTCATCCTGTGGAAATGAATTTGAATAACAGTGGAACTATTCACAGGAGTAAAGTCCTTCACATATAGAAGGACTGAGGGCAAATGTAAAAGGACTAAGACCATACCATAATGTTTTTAAAGGGTTATAACTGACACTGCCAAAAGTCCAATGCTTGTTCTTTTATTAAATTCCAAGGTGTTGCAATATATGGATTTAACCACCAGGAGGTGTAGGCTTCCATGTATGTCAGCCTGTTAGACGCACAGCACCACGGACTTAACGTAAGCAGTGGCTTCATGGTCCATTATAATCTTCCTGATACTAGCTAACCCCTGTACATCACAGATCATAATGACCCTATTTTACAAGACTGTATTCCATCTGCTATGTCTGCTTCTGTCTCAGAGGCCTGAAGAAAGGTATTGTGATCCCCAAAAGTCTGCCTATGTCTATAATCAACCATGCAGTTGGTCCAATAAAAGATATCACCCACAAGAATCCTTGCCTTTGACATTCAGTAATTACGGCTTTAAGTAATACATATACCCTGCAGATGTTGCTAAGTAGTTGACATTAAGCCATTTTTACTGGGGGATAACTAATGACTGATAGCATAAAGGTGTGTTTGAGACTGCCTAGCAACCACAGAAACAAAAACTACAGGGCTTCAAAGCTGACCAAATATCAGTGTCTTACTGACCTTGCCTAGATTTTACAGTAAACACCATAAAGCCTTGGTTTTAAGTGTTAAAGTACCACTCCGCACTGCCTTCTGCTGTGTGTTAGCAAGTTACAGTAAAACTTCAGGAAGGTACGAAAGACTTATCTTGAACAATGCCTGCCTGTTTGAAACCATGTCTTCTCAAGGGTTTTGACATGGGTTAGTTAATGCAGGTTACCTTAACACAGGTTATAAATACAACTGCTTTGTCCTTCCTAGAATTTTAGGTTAAGTTAATTAGCATAGGTTAATTTAATACACGTTAAAATACAACTTTTTTCTGAGTAAGTGTGATAAGGGTGTTGTTACATGTTACCCATAGGCTATGTTGGGGATTGTTGAGCAGTGCTAATGTCAGAATGAGTTTAGAGTGACTGCGACCATTAAGGTTTAATGCCATCTCTGACCTGCACAACTGTTGCCACTAGAGGTCTGGCAAGCAGGGGTGTGCCTATGAGCTACATTCTCCTGCTCCTGCTTGGCAGCAAGTGCCCACTAGATTACTTCATCATCACCATTGCTGTCTTTTTCATCATTGTCATTGCCCCATACTGGGCCTTTGAATGTGCAGTGCACAGTGTAGCAGGTAAAAATGACGTGGTCCTTCTTGATGAACTATCTGAGCTACAATCTGCTCATAAATTGCCTAGTTCTGCCTGTTGCCCTTCATGCCCTTAGCAGTAGTAGCAGTGATCCTCCCCTCACCCCAGCTTGCAATGAGGTCCAGCACTTCACCGTGACTCCAGTTCGAAGCCCGCTTGATGGGGCTCAAGAGGAACATCCTTTGGTTCATTCTATGCCTCTGGCTGACAAAGGTAGGTAGGTAGGTAATTGGCTTGCACTGCTGGCTGCTTGTGCTGATTGCATGAGGTCGTACCCCTGAGTGTAGGAAGGTTGCAGCCCCCAGGACACAAGGGGAAGTTGGCTTGGTGTCAGTACTACTCCCCTGGGCAGTAGAGTTCCAGGGTTGGAACGTTTGTTCAAACAAAGCAGGAGGTTGGGAGAGGGGACAGTGTATCCTGGAGGACTGGCATTTGGTGGTTTTATCTCCACAGAGTGGTGTATTACTGTAACACAAGCTGGGTAACAGCTCAGATAAAGCTCACCC